ATATATATCCATACAGTCTACCAGGGCTCCATGTAAAACCCCCTAGAAAAGCCAAGGTGGACTACAGATGACCTCAAAGTATGCTGTTTTTGATGTGCTATGCAGGTTATCATTAGAGTCCACAGACAAAATCTTTTAAGATGTTAAAAGTCAGTGCATCAACTAAAAAATGCACATTGAGTGGGGTGTCAGGAAAAAAAGAGGAAAATCTGCTCCATTTTAGAATCGAGTGGTACCATTGATAGAATAGGAATGAATGTGGGGGAGGCAGGTGAATTTTAACACAGTGGAATTCAGGTCTGAGTTCAGAAGAGTGGAATCAGTCTACCATAACCATGGAAATGACACAGGCCAGGGTGGGAATCACTAGCCAGATTGGGTCAAATTTGTATATACTCCATTCAATAACTACTGCTGAGCAACTCTGCACACTACAGTAAGGCACTGCAGTAAACAGAAAGCTAGGAAAACACAAACAGTTGTCTACCCTCAAGAAATGTCCAATCCAGTAGAAAGGATAGATAAACATATTCTGCCTGAAAATATATTCATGACCCGGAAGGTTCAGTACTGTGGAGGTCTGTATCTAAAGATTTAAAGCTGCAGCCTATTTTGTTTCGACACAACTCAAATAGATACAATAGCATTCTAAATGCTCAATGCTTCAGAGAGAAATATCAAAATGTTAGGAGATTCTTCACAAATGAAGAATGATGCCGAAAAAAATCTCAAATAAGAAAAAAAAAAAAAAAAAGATGACCAGCTCCTTGCCATCATACCTGCCTCAATGCCCCACTGAACAGTACAAGTCCCTGAAGCTGAACTCAGAGGCATGTGAGAAATGCTGATTGGTTAAAGGAACCCACAGGGGTTAAAAAAAAAAAAAAAAAAAAAAAAAGTGCCCCCTCAGGTGCATGACATGCATCTTGTCTGAAGAACATGGCATGAAGAAACAGGGGCTGCGAGAGGAGGAAAAAAGCAAGAGAATGTATGTGACAACATTCTGAAAACTACAGTGTGGAGCCAGACCACCACACGACCCACTACCTATTTAAAGCGGAGTTCTGCTGCAGAATCCATCCCTCTCAAACTAAACCTTTCATGTAATGAGCAAGCCAGCCATAAACATCAATACTTTCCCGTCTTAAAGGCATTTCACCACCAAAAGAACATGCACAGTAACCAATTGTGAAAGGCACCTTTGTGCTGAAAATTTTATTTAAATAAATATTAAACAGTACCCAACTATTAATAGATACACCCCTTCCCAAAACATCCCTAACAGCTGAAAGGTATGTGTATTTCTGAACCTCTAAACGCGAATATGAAAGCCCTGATCTACCCTTCCTTAACACCAATCATACAGTTTTTCTTTGCTATCCTAACTGAATAGGAAGGTTTAATAACTAAACCAATCACTCTAGGAACCCGACAAACAGGATGGATGCCTAACAGGGCATAAACATCCTCCACTCCCTGCAATTCCAGTCATTTTTGTTTTTTTCTGTGACAGATCTCGGATTTTTCAGAACAAGTATGCAGGTTATTTAAAACTGAGTTATATATAGTCATTTACCAGCAGCAAAACACTTCTGGCATTACCATGAATGCTCCCTCTCTGCAGGAATTCCCCCCCCCCCGCCAAAACTAGCATTTTTCTTCACCGAGAACCAACCAGCCTTTATTTTTAAAAGCCAAGTGCATACTTCTGTCCCCCAAAACAAACAAATCACTGACTACTATTCCATTCTACGCTAATGAAACTGTGGAGAAAGATCCCAGGCGTTGTCAGAGCCTATTTTTCATACACCACCACCAGACAGTTTGATGCAGTATTCCTGATTGCTTTTTATCGTATTTGTAAATACAGTCACTAATCCACTAAATTAGGTAATTTACAAACAGGTCCTCTCAGTTATTAGTGGCCAGCAGTCAAGTTCTATTACATCTGATCCTTGTACAGTTGTCCAAACATTTCCACCCAGGCTAAAGGCTCCGATCGGAAAGAGAAAGGAGGCTAGCGAAATTTGGATGGGGGCAGGGTGGCAGCTGGGAGAAATCTCTGCATCTCAGCCCTCAGCGACAACATCCAGCCAGTGCCCACAGAAAAACTAAATTCGGCACCTCTTCCTCCTGTTACACTGGCAACAAAGAGGGAGTTTCCGTAACGCTCCCGTCACCCACCAGGTACCCAATCTCCTTCCCAGCCCCGTCCCCCCGCGCTCCCGCAGGGGCCTCGGTGCGTCGCGAGGCCGCGGTGCCCCAGGTCAAGGCACAGAGGGGGGATGGGGTGGGAACGAGCGGGTGGGATCGGGGAAATGGGCCGTGGGAGGGCTCGGCGACCCGCTGGAGCACTTGATCCCGGCCAGGGGACCGTAGGCAAGGGAAGGGGGACAGGCGACCCAATGGAGCCGAAACTAGAGTAAGGTGGGAGAGGGGTGCAGAGACAAGCTGGGGTGCCCCCGGGGGCACGGAGAGCAGTCTGCAGGGGACTCCGCGGAAGCGGGGAGCGCGCCGCCAGGCCCGGAGGCGGGGGACGAGAATGCCACCTGGGGCAGAGCGGGAGCCCGGCAGCCTCTACCTGCGGGCGGCGGGACGGGCCGCTCAGGTGTGAGCCGAGCGTGGAGGCCGCCGGGCCGGGCAGCCCGTGGGCGGCGGGGCTCGTGGGGGTAACGGCGGGGCGCGCGGGGAGGCATCCGGGCGGGCGGCCGGGAGGCGGGAGCCCCTCACCTGCGCGGCAGAGGCGGAGCTGCAGCAGCCCATGGC